TAATAATAATAATAATAATAAATATTTTAATGTATAAATTAAAATGTAATTAATATATATTTTTATTATTAATTAGTATTAAAAAATAAAAATTAACTTTTATTTTTTCAATAATAATTAATAAAAAAACCATTAATTTGTACCTATGAATCACGTATTAAAAAAACCCAAACACACCTTCCGCCAATTACCGAGCAAATCCGCCAAACCTAAGCTCCTTAGGCTTCTTAATTTTTTGTGTTGAATTCACGTGCCAAGCAATATCTACCCCCTAAATCAATTCACCGGACCCATTCCAAATTTCCAAACACCAATACCCAAAAACTCCAAAGAAACCATCATCATTAAAATGCTTCTCGATATCAGAAGCAGACCAGCGCCCATATTATTTGAAGGTTCAAGAGAAAATTCAAGGAATGTGGGTGGGGTAAGTGATGTATCCATTTGTACCCAAAATTCTAAAGTTGATTGTTATAGTCAATGCTCTGCAAGTTACCAAGAAAGTGAACGTCTCGGTGCAACGTAATTAAGCATCATCTAAAAGGAAACCATCGAGAAAAGTCATTACTGGGGCCAGGCACAACTGTCTCAATTTAATTGATGATGATTATCCGCGTCCGAAAAAATAAAAATAAATAATAGTCCAAAATCTGGTGATCATGTAACTTCAATTAAAAAAAAGTCTGGTGATCAAATGTTGGATGGTGGAGAGTGTGTGGTCATTTTAAGGCCAAGAAATTAGTAATTCTTCTGTAAACCATTAGACTCTGTTTAAAGACCTGAAAGTTGCCGACACCTTTTGCCCCCTTTTGCCCCCTTTTGCTCCGGCCCTCTCCATGCCTAGTCCAGGCCTCATCTTTGTCGCTCTTCTTCTTCTCGCCTTAATTCATGAGACCTGCAGTGCCAAAGATAAACATTACTGTCCACCTTCTTCTTGTGGAAATAATTCGAATATTAGCTACCCTTTCAGATTAAACACAGATCCGCCTAATTCCTGCGGAATGACTGCAGATCCAGTATATACTCTATTCTGTGAGAACAACCTTACAGTATTGTACTCTGATCAATCAAGAAAATTCGACGTGAAAGCAATCAATTATGACAATCAAACAATTCGAGTAGCTGATGCTAGTGTTGAGGAAGGGAGCTGCTCCATACCTCAATACTCCTGGCGCGCCTCTAACTTCTCAACGTTTTCACAATATTATCCTTATTATTATTATATTTATACAAATGATGTTTATGTTTGGGAGAGCCTTCTTTTCATAACTTGTCGAAATCTTGTAAGTGATCCTCTTTATGTGGAAGCTCCTGCCTGCATTAATGGCAGCTCTTTCTCCACACCTTATAGGCCTAAATCTGAAGGCAAGAGGTATTATTATGTGAAAGTCGGAAAGACAACTTCACTTGAGTTAAAACCCTCATGCCGTATTGAGCTAATGGCACTTACACCTTTCATACGGGAGAAGAATTACGAGAACCTCTCCTACCTGGACATCCATCATTGGTTGGCATATGGATTTGAGTTGTCGTGGCTGCACGCTTCATGTGGAAAAACGGGTTTTCACATTAATGTGGAAAACCAGTGCGCTCATTCCATTTTTTATGGTACGTTGGAAACAAATTCTTTTGATTTGAGTTCCAATTGTGCATATATATGCCTTTTCATTTCTTGGTCGTATCTTTTTTTACTGGCAAAAGGTTTTGGCTAATTTTGTTTACTTCATGCAGACAATCGAGTCTACGACTATTTCATCAGTACTGTTGGATCCATACCTGGTAAGTACCCCTAATCGACATTTTGTTCAATTATATTATACATGTGAAGCAAGAATAAAATTTGGTTAAATGAATGCAACTGAGAGATATAACTGTTGTCACTAACCAAATGCGGATGATCACTACTAGCAAACAATATTATTTTTTATATTATTTTTTAACAACAATCATTTGTACCTAACTAGTTTTTTCGTTTATCAAATTTCTTCCACTACAATAAGTTGACATCATTTCTTTAAAAAATATTTACCATCTCCTCGATTAAGTCCTTCCATAAAATCTCAATTACTAGAAGTTAATGCAAAGTTTCTTATGTCATTGTTGGAATTAAACGCATACAGTAAGTGCCTCTTATTAAGCAATTACGAAGCATGAATATGATGATTGCC